ATGTTAGTTCCCATTTCTCTCTCTCTCTCTCTCTCTCTCTCTCTCTCTCTCTCTCTCTCTCTCTCTCTCTCTCTCTCTCTCTCTCTCGTTCTTTATCCCAACCCGCACTTCGATGCTGATAATTTCTCCTCCCTATCCTAAATGCTTTTAGTTATGCGGAATGAGTTATCTTGGAATAGAGTCAAAGCGGTGATGTTGTAAATCTATGGATCCGAGTAAGTGAGGGAAAGGCCTAAGGATCACGGTGTCAACCGTAGAAGTCTCATGAAAGTGTAACAAATGATAATCACTAAGGTGATATGGTTGGACCGAGTAGGTTCCAGTCAAGGGAGATGAAGTAGGTTGGTTGCTTGCAGGGGTTCCCTGTATAGCCTTAGAAGTATTAGAAGGTAGGTAATAAAAATGTGAATTTGTTTTTGAGAAATAATATAATATAGTTAAAAAAAAAAAAAAATAGATGAGAAGAACTGTAATCTTCCCCTGAACAAAACACACGTATGTCCTATTAAACTTTCCCTAGCAAAATCAATTTATCAAAGTCACCCCATGAAATCCAAATATTACGCACATTGAAATATTATGTACGTATGTTCTATTTGAATTGTACGCACGTTTGTTCCATTCGAACAAACAGGTTTTCTATTCAAATAGAACACACGTGCCCACTTGCAGTGCCGAACTCATTTTCAAGCATGCGCGCCCTGCAATGTTCCGTCCTCTCTGTCTCTCTTTCTTTTGTTAAAAGTATATACTGTTTTTTTTCGGAGGGGAGAAGTGTTTTTAGAAGTTGATACCTTATATCCGTAGTATAACACATGTGCGTTACATACGGATACAATGCACCCCGTGCGTTCTATTCGTAAATAACGCAAGTTTGTTTTATTCAAGGGAATAGAGCATTATGCTCACAGGGCCAACACTTCCCTAAATATATTTGACCAATAATATATATATATACAGGGTTGCCAGGCCGAACGTACGGAGGCCCCTAAGCTGACCCCCGAATGTTCGGGCGTTCGGGTCCCTGTACGGGGCCCGAACTCGAAGGGGTTCGGACCCCGCAAACAAATATTTTGGTAACTAATTTTTTTTTTTTTTTTTTTTTTTTTTTTTTTTTTTGTGCGTTCTTTGTCATGTAAGCTACGCGCCTCTTAATTTTGAAGGTATTCTGTGCAGCCAAAAAACAATGAAAAATCGGCAAAGATGGTGGTGTCAAAACTTGCTTGCCCATTTACCAATTTTTTTTATTTTTTATTTTTTACTTTTTTTTTTCCTTTTATTTCGGGGCATGAAAACAATTATTATTTTTTTAAACTTTATTTATAGGTTCTATATTATGTAAGATGCATATGTATAAAATTTAATGGCATTTCACAAAGCCAAAAAAAAAAGAAAAATCGTCAAAGACGGCGATGTCAAAAACGTCCTCGCCCACGCAATAATTTTATTCTCATTTTATTTTTTCTTATTTTCATTAATATTATTTATTTTTCGTATTTGATTTTTAATTCAATTTTGGTAACGAATTTCGATCTACTGTTGAGGCAAAATTTGTTACGTTTATTCTTCTGCATTACATTTATTTGTTTCAGATTTTTTGGAAATATATATATATATATTTTTTTTTATTTTTTTTTTTTGGGTCCGCGTTCGGCCGAACTGCCGAACGCATCGAGAGGGTGTCCCCAACGTTCGGGCGTTCAGGTTCGGGTGTTTGGCCCGTCCCGGACCCCGACAAACGTGTACATATTTATGAAACTCCGACGAAACAGTTTGTCACAGCCCCTCGTTTGTTGTCCTCTTCTCTCTCTCTGCCTACGGTTTACCGGGCAGTTCTATTTGTGACGATATATACAGGGTAACCGACGTTCGGGACGGGTTGAACGCCCGAACCCGAAC